TGGATCAACATCCATTCGGACATAGTGTCTTCAAAAAACTCAGGCAAATCCTAAATGGTAAAAAAATGACCAAAATAAATTTTCACATTTAGTTTCAATTGAATTTAAACATGATTGATCTGAGTCAAGTAGTGCAGCAAAGGAAGGACACACTGCCTGACGTATATAATCGAAGGTGAAGCAATCAAAGGGATTCGGAGTAACATTATAAATCAGATAAATTAGAATAAAAATAAATTCATATGAAAAGAAATAAGATAAATACCACTAGACAAACCTGACAGTTAAGACTAAGGAATATCTTGAAGACAAGCAAAAGAGCCTGGAAAACATCAACAAGCTTAGGACCATCGAGCACGCGCTGATCGCCAACAACAAGGGCCATGAGATTCTGAAAAAAATCAATGCCAAGATATTTAAAGGATACCCTAGAACCGAAAGGGGATCTAAGTGATTTTAAATCTCTATTTGCAATAACGTCAATATTAACTCACCCTAGTCAAGTGAAGGAGAGGAGCACCAAATTGGCCTATGACCAATTTGATTTCAGAAAATAGCTCATTGGAACGGCACTCGTGTCGATAACTAAGGAAATGAATGTAGATTATGAAGAGAAAAAGGGAATTCTAAGGACAAGAAAATTATTTACCGCTTGAATAAAGAATGCGCAGTATAGAGAACACCGCGAACCATAGCAAGATTGGCACCCATTTGAGCCATTCGTTCAATCAGATCTGGTAAAAGGGACGGCCATTTCTGAGGAAAATCCTCGTGACCGATAACTCCAATAGTTTCTGAGAGTTGTGCCTGAATTGCACCAGAACTAGAAAGAACCGCTCCTATAAGCTGATTTTTCATGGCGATACGATCTTCTTCCAGTATGGGGTCGTCCGCATCCTCTTCCTAATTAATGAAATGAGCAAAAGCAATAATACACAAAAATGATTATTACAGTAATAAATATATAGAGTAATTGTTACATATTAGTAAAAAATAATCACAA